ATAGATAGATAGATAGATAGATAGATAGATAGATAGATAGATAGATAACTTCTTGTTTAGGGTCAGGCAGAATTACCAAAGGACCTTTAGCCTGGTCCCTCTCCATCCTTACTAGCCTAATAAAAACCCAAAACAGTGTAAGACAGTAGTAAGAGGTGAAAGGGGAATTCTGCATAAGAAAATGAACCTGTTGGCAGCTCCATGCGAAAGTCCTAGTGTCTACATCATGTGACTCTTCTTGAGGCCTGGGGACATGACCCTGGTCACCTTCAGTTCTTTTTTAATCTCTCTACCAACCCCCTCTGCAGGTCCTGTCTTGGGCTTCTCTTGCTAATAACACTGCAGCCAGAGATAAACACACAAACCCAGACTGTAAATGTACCATTGTCCACAGAGTGGCTTTGCTGGCATTAAATCACCCTATTGATCTCTGAAAGGCATCACTGAGTCCTTTAATGGGCTACTGTGCTGAATATACCTCCAAGCCTTCCCATTTGCTCTGGGTTCCTGCACAGACTTATTTTCTCATTTTTCTTGTGGCTCAACTCTCTTTCTGTGTCCATATTCCTAGTTTCCTATTTGCTTTCCCCCTGGAGTTTAGGGCTGCAGAGATGCTCTCCCTTTACACACCATCTGGTTATTTCTGCACTCAACTGTGCTTAAAGCTTCCACATAACCCTTCTTCTGTTATTGCCAGGTGTCAAGGAAATCCTCTGGCACTGACTTTTTTCCTTTAAAACAGATCTTAGTTTATCTTTAAAGAAAAAGATGTAAGGCTGAGGAAGAAATCCTCAGTTGCAATTACAAAGGAACATGGCACGATAGTGAGAGAAACCTTCTGTACACAATGTCCAAAGGCTATTTCATATAACAGGGAGAAGACCTCAAAAGAAGAAAGATTGACAAGTCATAGAATAGAAAGCTTTTAGAAATACAATTTGGGGAATATGAGTATATATGCTCACATTTGCTAGTCCTCTGAGCGGATAATATGGGGTCATGGGGTAATGGGGTCTACAATTCAGAGTACGTCTGCTCTAGTAGTACCAGTTCAGCCTCAGTGAGATTCCAGCCTAGCTGGTCAGACACAAGCACTCCCTGTCATTCATCAAATCCACACTTTTTTCACATGAAGTTGGGGTGTGTGGCTGAAGAGATGGCTCAGCAGTTAAGAGCGCTGGCTGCTCTTCTGGAGGACCTGATGTTGATTTTAAACACCCACATGGTGGCTCACAACCACCTGTAACTCTAGTTCCAGGAGATTTGATGCCCTCTTTGGGCCTTTGTTGGCAATAACATGCAGGCAAAACCCCCACATATGTAGAATAAAAATAAATAAACGTTTTTTATTTCTTAAGGGAAGTTAAAGCACCCGTTGTGAGTTTGCCTTCTGTTGGGCACTGCACTGGACGGGACAGGTAGCAACAATCAGACCTAGCTTTGTGTTTGTGAAACTTGAAGTCAAAGAGCATGTTTGCTATCTCCTCTCCCATTCTCCCCCAAAACCTCTTATCCCATACCCCCTCCTCCTAATTTTTGTGAGGGTGTGCTCCAAACATCCTCCCAGTCCCATCTCCCTGCTCTCGAATTACTACACAGTAGGGGATCCAAACTTTCGGGGACCATGGCCCTCTACTTTCACTGAAGTCTAACAAGGTCACCCTCAATTCCCTATACAGGTGCATGAGTCCTTCCCTTTGTGCTCTCTGGCTGGTGGTTTAGACTTTGGAAGCTCTGGTTGAAACTTTTAATACTCCTTCTAGAAAGGATCAAAGTATCCACACTTTGGTCTTCCTTCTTCTATGTGAGTTTTATGTGGTCTATACGTAGTTTCTTAGAAATTGTGAGCTTTTGGGCTAATATCCACTTATCAGTGAGTGCATACCATGTATGTTCTTTTGAGATTGGGTCACCTCACTCAAGATGATATTTTCCAGCTTCATCCATTTGCCTAAGAATTTCATGAACTCATTGTTTTTAATAGCTGAGTAGTACTCCATTGTATAAATGTACCACATTTTCTGCATCCATTCTTCTGTTGAAGGGCATCTGGGTTCTTTCCAACTTCTGGCTATTATAAATAAGGCTGCTATGAACATGGTGGAGCATGTGTCCCTGTTGTATGTTGAAACGTCTTTTGGGTATATGCCCAGGAGTGGTATAGCTAGGTCCTCAGGTAACACTATGTTCAATTTTCTGAGATACCGCCAGACTGCTTTCCATAGTGGTTGTACCAGTTTACAATCCCACCAACAGTGGAGTAGTGTTCCTCTTTCTCCACATCCTCGCCAACATGTGCTGTCACCTGTGTTTTTGATCTTAGCCATTCTGACTGGTGTGAGGTGGAATCTCAGTGTTGTTTTCATTTGCATTTCCCTGATGACTAGGGATGCTGAACACTTCTTTAGGTGCTTCTCAACCATAAGCTAATGTAAACAGGCAGCTTTTGTGGAAATTTACAAGCCTGAGCACCCATAGACCTTGTTAATAGGTAGCCTTGGCAGACAATACCAACTTAGATAAGGACAAGCGGGTCATAGGCAGAGTCATAGTGACTTGTCCCCTGAACCTTCACCCAGCCGATACCCGGTTCCGATGATATCTGTATTCCCCCTGATCACCCACACTCCAGTGTCATTCCCTTCCCCACATCCTGCCTTTCTGTGTTTATAACCCCTGTGTGAATGAATTACGATTTGAAAAAAAATAAATTATAAAAAAAGAGCACGTTTGCATATTATTTTCCTGTGTCCATCAAATTAAAGAGTATATCTAAGACCCTGCAGGATCCAGCTTACTGAACCCTTCCTCCCACGTTCTGGAAAACACACTCACTTTGTCGTTGTTCCTCAAAACCAATGGCACTTCATAGACTTCACAGGGAGAGTAGTTCTGGAATATGATTTCCGATGGGAACGGCTGGAATAAGGCCTGATCCAGGTCCACTTTGGAAAACTGCAGTTGGGAGACAAAATCATTCATACTGTGGGACAATGGCAAAGGTGACTAGGGTTAAGTAATGCAAAGACCTATCAAAATAAAGACCACGGGGGCCACTTAAAGGGGAACCACCATAACAGTCAAAATTAGTGAGATTGTTTTCATTGACTTTATTACAAAAGAAGGGAAAAAATTGGGAGCTGGCTCTGTCAGTATGGAGCTTACAACACAAGCATGAGGTTCTGAGTTCTGATCCCCAGGACCTACTTAAGAAGCCAGGCATGGTAGTGCGTGCCTGTCATGCCAACACTGAGGAGGCAAAAGCAGGTGGATCTCTGGAGCATACTGGCCAGGAGCTACTTCCAGATCCCAGTAGGATAACCTCAAAAAACAAGTTGGATGGTTCCTCAGAAGCAAGGGCTAGGATTGGAGCTTGGTATTATACTCTCCTGTGTGCACACAGGCTCATGCACATACATGTATACACACACACACACACACACACACACACACATATGCATGTGTGTGCTAAAAAGTCCACTTAGTTCTCTGCTAAAACAGAAAATAATCTAATAAGTCAACTAACCCATACTTTGAGATCTAAACATGGTAAACAGGGTCTTCTGAGTCAGCTATCCTATGACAATAACTGAAGAGTTCTATCAACAAATATCTGCTCGGCCACACCACTAACAAGATCACAGGGAATTCCTGGCTCCGGGAGAAAGCAGATAGATGGGTACAGAGAGCACAGTGGGTAGAGACAATTGGATTACACCTGCCTCAATGCATTAGACGGGGTGGAGGCGGGGGGGGGGGCCCGGTCGGGATATGTACCTTGAACCTGCAGGAAGGCTAGAGAGACAGAGACTGGAGTTCCAATGCTTGCTGAGGAAGGCTAGGACTCTAATGGACTTTGCTCTCATTGACCTGTGGCTGGATGTCCCACAAGATAAGGATAGACTAGGGTCCCTCAGTCCCTCAGCACTCATCCTCAGTGAGGTCTGGTGCAAATAACCCGATCCCCTCTGAAAGACGAGAGAACCACCACAGGATTTGGATAATTTGTGCCATCTTCCATTTGTGAAATATTGCAGCACACAGCCAAGAATGCTTTGTAAGGTGCAAAATATTTGCAGATTGTAATTCTATCAACCAGCCATAATTGCAAGGACGCGGGATGGCGTAAATGAAAGCCAGCAGGGACACGAGGCAGAGGATAGAGCGGTGTGACCCACTCTCTGAAACCCAAGGGTCAGGAATGGTAAGGAAGTAAATGCAAATGCTTGTCCCACTACCTTAAATGATAATGGGAACTCGGGGAGGGGGGATTCACCAGAGTGGCCACCGCTGAAGAGTTACTGGCATTGAGATGGGTTAAGAGAACATTCAGACCATGAAGACAGATAGAGACAATAGAAAATGCAGAAGAGGATTAAGATTGGCAGGCAACAGAGATGGGTGCATTTGAACAAGTGGGGAGGGGGCATCGTTGATGAACAAAGGCAGAGAAGGTTCTACAGCTGACAGCGGAGTCAAGGCAAACATGCAGGAGGCCCTGTGAACTCACGGCAGGTTAAAAAGAAATCCATGCCTAGGTAGATAAGTCGTAAAGCCGTTGACAGCAGAGGCATAAATGTGCGAGAGATGCTGACAGAAAAGGCGGAGGATGCTTTTTAGGCAAGAAACAAGAAGTGTGGGCTGATAAATGTAATTAACAAATGGTAAAATATATGAAATGATATCATTTAAAGGCCAGGAAAACAAGCCCCAGCCAGCCAGCCAGCCAGCCAGCCAGCCA